AGCGGCTTTAAAATATTTTGTAGCCTCTTCTCAAACAGAGCCGGGCAATTTATATAGGGCCGCTTCTCAATTAATTTACTTCCAGGGCCACATTATCATTAGTTAACAGAACACAGAAGCTATCTATATTATCTTCATTTCATTTCCCTGTTTTGATCTCTCCCTCATATTTGTATATTAGGCCTAAAGTTTTTCTCATTTTGCATACTTTTCCTGCTTCTAAGCTCATCACCTGTTTTCTTATTTTATACTGTGTTTAATCCGGACGGCTCTGTTTTCTCATCATTTTATTTTGGTCTCAATTTAACTTATTCTGTTGCTGTGCAACTTTCTAGTTTTCATTAGTTTGTAATTTTTTTCTCATACCTCGAATTGAAGCCCAAGATGCTCGAGATGGCTCTTTAGTTTGCGTTGAAAAACAGACCATGGGTTACTTTCCAAGGTAGCATAGCCCTCATTTCGAGATAGTAAACAGTACACTGTACATGAATTTCAAAAAACAAAATAAGTTATAAAAAAAGCTTGGTTTACACAGTGATTTAATCAGGGGTGGGTACTGGGGAGAGCTTCCCCCTCCCCCAATAGGGGAGAAAAAGCACAATTCATCGGGGAGAAAAAAAATATGTATTTTCTACATATTAGTAGACTCCAAAATTGATTAAATAAGCCTTTGAAACCCTTAAATTGTTTAAATTTTCGGGGGCTTCGCCCACCTTGACCGCTTTCGAAACCTTTTAATCGAAGCTCGACCCCGCCCAAATCGGCCCACCCGTCGGGGACCTCGGTAAAACCTGGCGCCACCCCTGGATTTAATGCCGGTTAAATACACTCAATAATAGAGATTGATGTTACAGTGGCCTTATGTACTGTTCTATAGTACAAATTCACAAAATTTACAGCATTCATTTTAAAAAGAAGCCCTCCACCATCCCTCTTAACTTAAGGTAGCCTCGAAAAGAAACCCATGCAAAGTTCGTAAACAAAAGAACAGCCCATGGCTTCAATTTGAGGTTTTAACATTGCCTTGCCCAAACTTCTTATTAATTTAGAGCAACAAAGACTTTCATTTAATGGTGTTAAATTATGGAATGATTTTTTCCTTAGTTTCTGAAAATATTAATGCAGAAATCATTTTATTGCAGTAGTTAAAGAAAATTTATTTATTAAATATCTTCCAGATCAATTTATTTAATTCAACTTCGCATATTTTCAATTTTTGTAAATTATAATATTTGTTACTTTTTGTTGCCTGCTTCCATTATTGTTCGTCATAATTAATTAACTTATTGTAATCCAAAGTAATTGGTTTGTATTTTTTTTCCATCAAGAAGGTGCTAAGCTTAGATTAGCTTTATTCAACTATACCTTATCACCCTTTGCCAATTATGTTTTTATAAATATTTTTGTTGACAATAAAGTTGAAAGTAATTATCATGATCTAATTTCCAAAACAATTCTTTCAAAATCTTCAGACAATTGAGTACAGGGAGGTAAACGTAGTACAAAAATTTACCCTAGAAAATATCTGTTACTAAATAATTATAATTTTATTAATACATTATCTATTGATAAAATATCTGTTACTACATAATCACGATTTTATTAATACATTATCTATTGATAAAATATCTGTTACTACATAATTATGATTTTATTAATACATTAACTATCGTTGATAAATTGAATAAATAATTAACTAACATTGGCCCTAATTTAAAAAAAAATATTAACACACCATGACCTTATTCTTCGATTTTGGATGAACCTTGTTAAAAATCCCTTTTTTATTTTGCTTGAAGTGATTATCTCAGATGAAGTTTTGGAAACAATTTCATACTTAGACATCAATAAAGCCACTGGTTTCAAAAAATTTCCTTTCATCAAAATTAATTTCAATAGTACGTTATATAGCTTGAGTCCTTGGGCAAGGTACTTATGTTTGCACCTAGGAGTATAAATGGGTACCTGGTAGGATGATGTGGCATTGCGTATATTAGTCTGTATTGGCATTAAACTGTAGGCCTACGCACGACTAGGAATACTCCCAAGGGAGCGAGGGATGTTGCACTTGTGCTGGTTTGATTATGGAACCGATGTCTAAATATTAAAATAATTTTCAAAACTTTAGAGGTAATTGGTTTAAGGGGGAAAAAGAGGATTTTTAACAAGGTTCACCCAAAATCGAATTTATATGTGGTAGGTTCGCAAAAGTAAACCTATTTAATTATATCATCTATGCCGTTAGCACACATTTTCAATCTTTTATTTAACTTGCTGTTTCTACAGTATTTGATTAATTAAATAATTAATTAGCATTTAGTTAATTACTTGTCACGAACTTGTTTTATAATGATCGTCAATATGGTTGTAGAAAAAAAAATACAGTAATCATTAATTATATTTAATAGGCTTAAATATGATTGATATCATGAAATGTCCTCTATTGGTATATTTATTGACTTTCGTAAAGAATTTGACACTATGGATTATGAAATTTTACAAGTAAATTATCTCATTATGGTGTTAGAAGAAATGCATTAGGGCTATTATATATCTGTTATCTCCGTAATCCCAAGGCAAAAGGTATGTCTTCCTTACTTATACATGGATGTACTGAAAATATCAAAAGTAATTCCAACAATGCATTTGTGTGTATTTGTGCATGCCAACGAAAAGTCAAATAATCTGTTTATACCCTTGGAAAATATTACAGTATTTATTTTAAACTAAATGTTCTTGCGGCCAATTTACCTAATACCAGGACGCATCCACCTGTGTAACAGATCGTAGATTTTGCAATTCCAGAGAATCGCGTGACGTGAGTTGACGACGGATATAGTGAAGAAGATGTGTTTTAGCAAACAGAAGCAATTTTTTTAATGATTATAGTGTATATTTGTGCTACTACATATCAGCAAAACCACTAAGCTAGGCCTAAGTATTGTATATGTATTAAAGTAAAGCAATTGTAACTTTTATTTTTTTTTAGATGTTCCCATTACCAACAATACGTGTTAGCTTCTTCGTAGGTGTGCTTGACATGGTGGAAACAGACTTGGATGGACAAACGCTGGCTTGTTCGAAAAGGATTTTGAATGAGATTAGTACGCATTCTTATATACTTTTATGTGCTAATGGAAAGTAATTTGCAAATGCATGTTACACAAATAAATATTTTTTTATAGTACATGGATAGTATGTGAATTTAGCATTCTTGTGGTCATTTTCACCTAATATTCTGGACGCACCACTTGTGTAGACATTACCACGCCAGAGTGACGGCGTATATAGTGAATGGGCAATATTCTAGCAGAAACTTTGTTACTTTGATGTGTTCAGGGGTGATTTCGTGATGTATATATCAACAAAACTACTAAAGGCAAGTATTACAATAAAATATTTATAACTTGAAAGTTTATCAAATGCCCTTTACACCTAACAATAGGAGTTCGTTTTCTTTGTAGTGTTTGTATGCAGGGTGGGGTCTAAATATTCTCGGACAAAGTTGGGCAATTTCGACAAGAACAGTTGTATTGTGACGATATAGGGCCGCTTCTCAATTAATTTCTATCCAGGGCCACATTAAATAACGCATTCTTATGAATTTTAATCAGAACCCAGAAAAAGTTGTTTGTAGTGTTGATTTTCATCAACAATTATCTTCATTTCATTGTTTTGTTCTCTCCCTCATATTTGTATATTAGCTTTTTCCTCATTTTATACACTTTTCCTGCTTCTAAGCTCATTATTTGTTTTCTTAATTTTTAGGCCCTATCATGTTTAGTTTCTTTTGGTCTCAATCTAATTTATTCTGTTGCTGTGTAACTTACTTTCTAGTTTTCATTAGTTGGTTTTGTATTTTTTTCTAATGAATCCTTTATTGCCCCTTTTTGATTCCATTCCTCCATAAATGTTTCTTGTTTGCACTTATATTTCTTCGTCACTTATATTTATTGTTTTGCTTTATATCCGCCAGTTCTTATCAATGCAGTTCAACAGAAGCACGCTCAACTCCATACATTTCAAGGTACAGTCTTTGATCTTGTATCTGTCATCGACAAACAATACTAGATAATGAGTACAGCCATGAAGTGTTGTTATTAAAAATATATTAAAGATTTATTGTCCCTTGCTAATGTCAAAAAAATCATAAAAAATAAGTTTGAAAAAAACTTGCTCATTTTGCAATAGCATACAAATTATAAACTTGTGCATAGAAATTATTGAATTTAAAAAAATGTGTACCCTGATTTTTAAATTAACAAATTATAAAAAAAATAATAATACACATCGATCCAGTGACTGGAAGTGTTTCTATAAATTTTCACTTTAAACTGATGGTAGATATTTTTTTTAAACACTAATTTCTATGTTCAAGCTGATAACTTTTATGTCACTTCAAAATGGGCAAGTTAATTTCCAAAAATATTTTTATGAATTTTTTTTTTATATTTAGCATTAGACAATATACCGTTAATACTCAACCAAAGCAATTATTAATTATAAATTACATGAATTATATGTTCTTAAATATATCCTTATAATATAATATATAATATAATAAATATAATAATATATAATAATAATATATTGTAATATATTTATCACGGTAGGTCAAAATAATATTGTTTCTTCCGCATTCTAATTGTGGATGGTAATTTGTTTCGGTATATCGTGTACTTTACTTAATTATTGTTTGTTGGTTTTTTCTTATATTTACCGTATAATTTTTCTTTAGTGTGAATTGATATAGCTATACCTTCAAGCATCTAGGGCGATTTTATTTGGTTTGCCCTAATCTTAACTTTTATTACTGGGAAACACCTGTCGATTGTTGTAGTTAAAGTATTGCCGAATAGTTGGTATGCCATATTCGCATCATTGCTATTCAATACGTTTTCCCTTTGTTTAGAATTTTGTATTAAAAATTTAAGTTTATATAACTATATGTTTTTTGTTCTCTTTTTAATATTTTTTTGTATTTATAGATGGAAAATATAGGGAAATTGTCAGAAATATCTGATATTAATAAGCCTGCTTTTATACACGTTGGATTTGAATTAGAGTAGATGTTATCAATGATTGTAGCTGAGATATGACATACCTTCATAGGTCTAATGATTAGCGGTTGGAACGAGTTGGAGAGAATACTGTCCATGTGATACTGAATATCACTACTCATTGCATAATGAAGGAGATATATATTAGAGTCACCTGTAAGGTAAGCCTGTTTTTTTTTTTTCAATTAATAATAATTGCATCACAAATGACAGCTCTTTATTAAATTTCCCTTATTCCTACTTCAGCTGGTTATTAATATTATTTTCGATAAAAAGTGATTCTGCACTCCTAATTTTCGCCGACAGGTCATCATGTGATGTGTAACATAGGTTTTCAGATATATAAATGCAACCCCACCTCCCTTTTTCCCAACTTATCAATAATCATGGAATTGGAATATCATAGACAACAATTGTGTCTTTTGAAAAAAACAATTACTGATGGTACTGAGGTATTGTGATTGAAATGAAGGAACGGGTAGGTTTAAAACCACCTTATTTATAAAAAAATCACATAGACCCATTTCCGTGTGTTCCTTTAATTTAAATGTTCCGTTAATCATATGCATTTTGCCATTTATGTACAGGTTACCATTTTTAAATAATACTTTCTGCATTTCTCATCTTAACGATCGCTTTTTCTAGATAATGGCAGCGGGCAGATCCTGTATCACAAATATGTTTGATTTGTTTCAGTTGAGATCTTGCACGCTGAAGGACTTCATGTCTTTCTGCTCTAGTATATACAAATTTAGCTATATGTCTTGGCTTGTCATTGGTCCCTTTCGGTGGTTCATCCGTGTGATGTGCTGTTTCAATGTCCACATCTGGCTAAGTTTGTTAGAAATAAAATCATTGATTGTCTTATGAGCATTCTCTTCTTTATTACCTTCAGGTATTGAACCAAAACACAAGTTGAATCCATGAGAGTAACGTTCGAGACTCAGAATATCTGCCTCTATTTGAAACATTTTTGGCTTCATTGTATTTTCTAGTTCATTGGTGTTACTACTCATATTACTAGTAAGACCATGGTTTTTTGTATGCATTTTTATGTACGCGCTAATGGAAAGTAATTTGCAAAAGCATGTTAGACAAATAAATATTTTCTTATTTTCTACAGTACATGGATAATACATGCTTCAGCGTTCTTGCGGCCATTTTCACTTACTCCAGACGCACCACCTGTGTAGAGATTGCAAAAGTAAGTATTATAATAAAATATTTGTAATTTGAGCACTACTGCAGTGGATATGTGCGCTTTACAAATCTTATTATTAACTTGAAAGTTATGAAATGCCCCTTACACCTAACAGTACGAGTTAGTTTCTTTGTAGTGTGTATGGTGGGGTCTAAATATTCTAGGACAGAGCTGGGCAGTTTTAATGAGAACAGTTGTATTGTAAACAAAAGAAGCAGCCCATGCCTTTAATTTTTTTTAACTTTGCCTTGCCCAAATGTCATTAATTTAGAGCAACAAAAAATTCCATTTAATGGTGTTAAATTATAGAATGATTATTCCTTAGTCACTAGAAATATTACATGCAGAAATCGTCTTAGAGCAACAGTTAAAGAAAATATATTTATTAAATATGGTTCAGATCCATTTACTTAATTCAACTTATCACATATATATATAATTTTCAATTTTATAATTAGTTTTGTTTATAATATTTCGATGTGAGTTTGCGTCAGAAAAATACAATAGGAGTGATGTTTTGCCCTACTTGACAAGTACGTCCCCAAATGCTGGGTAAAAAATAAACTTTTAAAATTTTGTTGGCTGGTGCAATTCAAACAAATTGACAATTAATGCTGGAAAAAAACTAACATGATTTTTCAATTGAAAAATAGACATAATGAGATAATTAAAGATCTTCTATTAATTTTGTTGGCATTAAATCTGACAAGTTGTCTGTCTTGGACACTCTCAATTAAATTTTAACTGATGAACATTCTCATGGTACCAGATTCAACAACCCATATAATTTTAGCTATTCCACAACCTCATATTTCTTTGGTAAATTTTTAATTGGCAAAACAGGCAAAAATATGAAATGAAATTCCTGTTGACATTCGTAGTATTAGTTCTCGCAATTGTTTTGTTTTTGACCAGGTGGAAACGGACTCAGACGGACGAATTTTGAAAACGCTTGTTTCGGAAAGGATACTTGATGTGATTAGTATGCATTTTTACATACTTATACGATTTTCATAAAAATAAGCCACTATTAGATCGAGTTATTATTGAATTTACTGAAATTGGGCAGGTCAAGTCATATAAATATTTAGGCGTAATTTTAAATAACACTCTCACATGGGATGATCATACCGATCACATGATGAAAAAGCTTAGCAGGAGGATGTGCTGTCTTCGTAAACTTAGGTCATTTAATGTGTGCAATAAAATTTTAGGTATCTTTTATAATTCTGTAATTTTAAGTGTCTGGAGCTACTGTAAATATATATAACTGTGACAAGGAAAGTATCAATCGTCTGATCCGCAAAGGTTGAGAGAGTGACTGATGTGTGTTGCCTGTCGGCGGACTCAGTTTACGACTACCGGTTGGAGAAGGTGTTTCTGAGGATCATTGAAGATGTGACCCATCCCCTTCACGCTGAAGGTTGTTCGGAGTGGTAGACTGAGGCCGCCGGCAGCGTACACATGCCGCTACTCTTCCTCATTCGTTCCCCAAGGTGTTAGAGCTTTTAACAAAACTTTTAAAAGATGAATTATGGCAGTAATGATGATGAAAATGGAAAATGATAATAATAATAATAATAATAATAATGATAATAATTCGGTGACTTATTAATGTTTTAATGGTAGTTGTTTGATGTCTTTTTTACATTGTAATTTTTATAGTTTTTATATTTGATCTTTTAATTTTTTTACTGTATATTAATGCGAGAACTGATTTTTCCAACTTGGAGCAATAAAGTGTATCTTATCTTATCCTAGCTTATCCTATCTAAATTTGCAAAAGCATTTTAATTTGTTAAACAAATTAAAATATTTTCTGATTTTTTTTAAATAGTACATGAATAGTACGTGCTTCAGCCATTTTCACCTAATATTCTGGATTTACCACATGTGTATTCATTGCCACGCCCCTGTCTCTTATACACATCTTTTAATGGTGTTAAATTATAGAATGATTATTCTTTAGTCACTAGAAATAT